TCTCTCAAACAGTTTTAGCCAGGACTCCATCATATGCCCAAACTTCAAACCATAAATCTGGGACAATGAGAGGTGCTCATCTTCAAAAGCTTTATGTTCAAAAAGCAGCATCACGCATTAAAGGAAGCTGAAGTGTAAAAGGCATAAAAGGAGCATTTTGATCATCACTGTAAACATCTGTGAGCAGATTCATTTCTATACTGTAGCATCTACACACACACACACACACACACACACACACACACACACACACACACACACACACACACACACACACACACACTCGTACACTACGGATAATTTAGCCAACTCAATTCACCTTTACTGCATGTCTTTGGACTGTGGGGGAAACCAGAGCACCTGGAGGAAACCTACGTGAATGCAGGGAGAACATGCAAACTCCACAAAAAAACGCCAACTGAGCCGAGGCTCGAATCGGCGACCTTCTTGCTGTGAGTCGACAGCACTACCTACTGCGCCACTGTTTCGCCCTATTATAACATATTATACGTAATTTAAAACAAGTCTCTGACCATTAGAAGCTGTCTATATTCACAAAGTGTTGACAGACTGTGTTTAAACCCCTTATAAAAGTATTTTTGCATAAAACTTTAAGTCCCTTTTAAGTAAACTTGCTGCTTTAAAAACAAAGGGTTTTCTCATTTTGTGCCATCTCAACCAGTGTATCTGAGCAATCCCTTAACAAAAAAAGTCAATGCCTGTCGATATTCCCATTTTTAAAGCCTTTTGCAAATGTATTTTGGTTTAGACAAAAATAATAAAAAAATAGAGAAATAGATATCAAACCAAGTGTGAAACTGCCTCAACCTCATGTGTAGCTCCACTGGCCAGCAAAAGTGTGATGCAAGAAACCAATCAGATCTCATCAAAAACAAACAGCCTGTTCCAGCATTACACGGGTTTACCTTATATCAACAGTGCTTTTACAGTCACAGTGAACAGCCAGCAGGAGAGACAATCAGAACAGAGATGAGAGGTCGCGCTGCCCTCTGAACAGTAGAAACACATGATGGACTATCAGAGGTAAAATCGATGGCACGCATCTGTCCCTGAGCTCAAGAACAACCTGCCTGTGACAGAGGAAGATCTTCAGGGGTTTGATCCTCTGCACATCATACTGCTGTCCCAAGAGCTCTGGGTGTGCAAGGAGAGGTATCAGTGCAAGACAGAAAGATCACATGACTTCTGCCAGTCACAGGTGAGAACCCGACAGGGGTTGATCCTTAGCATCAGTGCTTTTGTGTTGCTTTTATATCTGCCTATAAATATACCAGTCAGACATCTATCGTTACAAACAGTTACAAATCTTTCGAAATATACAGTGCATCTGAAAAGTATTGATAGCGCTTCACTTTTCCACATTTTTTATGTTCCAGCCTTACTCCAAAATGGATTAAATTAATTTATTTCCTCAAAATTCTACACACAATAATTTTATATTGTATATTTGATATTATAATTAGCCAGGCTGAAGTAGATCAGCATCGTCTTCAGTGATCCTCCAGAAATCATACTAATAATTTATTGTTCAAGTTTTCCTTATTTTGATCATTTGAATTTGCTATTGCTAAATAATAATAATACTGCCGACCATAAACATCTGAACTGAACAATTATGTTTAATACAACCAATTGTAATCAATTATTTGAATAAAATATTAGATTAAACAGTTTTTTCTAGCTTCACACAAACAGGGCTATCTGCAGTGCTGCAGCTCCAGACTGAACGTGTCCATGCAGACACACGGCACCGTCTTAAATGTCAATTTTATGTGACATTTAAGGTGGGTAAATGTATAACTCTGGACAGAGAATATGAAAATTCTTGATATTTAACATTTTAAAGAAAATAGTTGAAACTATTTGAACACTGCAAACCTTCACACATTAAGTGAGTATGCAATACATGTAGATATAGGAATATTATTATATACAGGATATTCATTTCAAAGTAGTTAAAGGGTCCCTATTTTACCTCTTTTTCCAAGATTTAACACAAGTCTTTTGTCTCTCCAGAATGTGTCTTTAAAGTCAGAGCCATAGAGATTTGTCTGTATTGCTCTGATGCGTGTAGCCTTCACGTAGGTAAACCGCACACTGACAGACAAGAATGAAGCAGATCTCCCTTACTACAGTAAGAACTTTTCCAATGGTTATTTGATATAATTGTTGTGGAGTTAATTCAAGCCTTTCTGCAACAATGAGTCACACACAATGTCGTTATAAAGTTTGCACATGCACACACGCGCTCACACTTTTAGCTTTGCACTGTTATTGCATGGCAATTGTGACAGGATACACGTTAATATCCACTGCTGTATGGACTTCCGCTATGTTATTGAACAAAATAAACTTGATAAGTCCACAAACTGGGATTGAGGCATCTTCTTAAATAATTGTACTGAAACTAGGCAGCTGTGGAATTACGTAGTGGTTTTACTGTATTACAAACATGGAAAGTTTTAAAAACATTTTAAACTTGTAAAACTCAATCATGAGGTGCAGCTGATCACAGAGAGCTGAACAGAACTAACCCAGCCGAGGCTCGAATCAGTGACCTTGCTGCGAGGCGATCGTGCTACCCACTGCTCCACCGTGCAGCCCAGACAATATCTCAAATAAATTTTTTAATAGATTATTAAAAATAGATTATTTAAATAAGGCAAATTAGTTGATTATTTCCCAGAGATGGGTTGCGGCTGGAAGGGCATCCGCTGCGTAAAAACTTGCTGGATAAGTTGGCGGTTCATTGATTATTTGCAGTTGATTAACCATTTCTAATGCTATTTACAAATATCTTGCAAATCTTTAGATTTCCCCCCCTAGTATTTTCAGAGTATTTGGTAAAGGTTTTGAAGTCGTATAGATTAAAAAATATATTTTTTAATGTCTCTCTCGCGACTATGTGCATATATTTAAACAGCTTTTGAAAGCAAAAGCTGGACATTTTAATAGATTTAGAATACCCAGCCGGATGTAAAAAGGCACATCTCAGTGGGCCTGCAGGGCACGTGAAACTGTCTTTGGGAGTGTTGACAGTTATCGCACAGTACAAAATGGGTAAATGAAAGAAATTCCACTATGTAATCGATCGTGGATGTTTGGTTTTAGTGGACCAACAAAAAAAAGTGTAAAAGGATGATAATAATACAAAAACAGTGTCACTAAATATACTTGGGTGGCCGTTAATATACCTGTAAAAGTCTATGTGTGGGAAGCACTGCAATCCCAAAAGTTCTTAACAAAAGTAGTTCCACTCTTGTTCTCCCTCTCAAAGATAACAGAGAGAGTCGATATCAGGAAACATTTGATCCTGATGGCCTCATTTGTGCTCTTCAGAAACATAAAGGAGACGTCACCGACAATACGTCCATATATTTACACAGTCTATGGCTAAAACCAGCACAAACAACACAATACTCTTTAACTTATCAAGAAAACCCCCTAAACCCTACCTGTCGACATTGGGATGTAAAAATACGAGAAATAATACACACCAAGATTGACATGTTTACTTAGCAAGTATATTTGTTGGTTAAGTGTCTTCTTTCACTCCTCTTCAAATCGCATGTACAGAAGCTGACCTGGAAACAGTGTCTTTATTACTACAGAGTGCGTCTGTCTTTCAGCACTGATGCATAAATTGACTGATTCAGAGGTTGCATACACTCTCAGAAGTGAAGTTTCATAAACTAATTTTGAGAGGAGCACGTGATATGATTGAGCATGACTGGCTGCTTATCTTTAATCAGAAATAATCCAATCAGAGGGATCCAAGCTTACAATAAATGGATCGTTTTTTCCCTACTGCTCTATCTTTGTTTTGAAAGAATCCCCTCTTCCGCCCCATCTCCTCCGTTTCCTCCCTTTTCTAAGGGGGGGACTCTCGAGACCTAGCTGATCTCGGCTCCCCTTATATGCTTATTGACCAGTTAGCCTTGGGCTCAAGTATCTCCGAGAGCATGCCAAACCTGCTATTAACGCTAAGCATATCTAAGTGGGAACTCTTGAAATAAAGGGACGAGAGCTGTCACTGGGGTGGTACCTTTTCAAAAGGTACACATTTGTACTTAAAAGTGTCTATATTGGTGCCTCAAAAGCATATATTTGTATCTACAAATTATAAGAGGAACTTTTTAGGTACTAATATAAACCCTTTAGGTATCTATGGGGACTCTCTCGGTACAGATGTGTATTTTTTGAAAATGTTCCACCCCAGTGACAGCTCTGGTACCTTTATTTCTAAGAGTGTAGAAAGGGCGACGATCCACATATCCACAAAGAGGGCACTGCTTTAATGAAAAGGAAGTGACTGCGGCCATTTTAATATTGATTTCAACGCCAAAATAAAGCTAAAAGCATTATTTTCTTGAACAGCTCTTGCAATTGGGTGTTTTTTTTATAGAAAGATTAAAAACTTTAAAATTCTTAAATGGGATGATAATGGGATAGAAAGGTAAAATACAAAAGAAAAACTGGAGGTTTCACAGGTTTGCCATAAACATATTGTGTAGTTTTCTTAACTCCCAATCAGATATTGCAAACAAACTCAACATCAACAATCTCTTTTTGAGTCTGATTTAAAGGAGAAACATTGCTTTAAAAGTTTAAAAAGAAGTGACGTTGGTGGCCCATCTGCTGGTTCTGCCCAATACTAGAGGGGTGATAATCCTGCTTTAATGAAGTGGAGGTGTGCCAGGTAGCCACTCTCTGTTTAGCCCCGTCACTCATCAAGCAGACATTTATAGCTGAAGGCGAGAGGGGGAAACTTTCTGACTCTTGTTGACTGATAAAAATGTTTTCACACACACGTGCACACACACAATTTCACGCTTTCTAGCCACTGCCCAACACTTTACACTGTTTACACACACACTCGCAGTGCTGGCGAGCGCACGCTGTAGAGACTCTGCTAAATGGGAAATAAAATATTAATCCAGCAATCACCTTCAGAAATTGAAAACAGGCAGAGCACTTACCATTTTATTATTGATTTCGTGAAAATGAATTTCACAGACTTTCTCTACAATGTCTTCATTCTCGAACGTTACGAAGCCGAAGCCTGCGGAAACACAGAGAGAAAGAGAAACAGAGGAAGAGTCAGTGGTGCACCTTTTGAACTCAAAACTCCGACAGTTTTTCAGGCCTCCGTCAGAGAGAGAGAGAGCGTGGGGAGTTCAGATCTGAACGGACATTGTCTTTTTTGAAAGCCGGCCGCTGATGAAATCTCTCTCACGACTGGGCAGACGAGGGGGAAATCGGACAGCAGAAAAGCACAAAGACTGTTAATGAGATTCATGGAGCCACATCTGAATTTCATTAAATGCGTTCTGCGCTGCCTTCATTGAAATTTCACCGTATAACAAGCTCCCGTTTTAATGTAAATGCGGGGCTGGAGATCCCTGAATCTGTCTCCGACCGTGGGATTGTCTTCTTTTTTTCATATTTATGAAATAAGAAGTTTAACCCGTTCGGCTCATCCGGGCTTAACAAGGATCTGTCTGTGCTTTTATTATAATGAGAAAAAGAGAAGCGCTTTTCGCTGCGGCTCACGAGGGAGAATGATTTTCTATTCCTGGGTGTTAAGAGTAGGCCAACGGTGAAAACACAAAGGAAAACAAGCCAGAGAGGAAGATAAACACTTTACTCACTGTTTGTTTATAAAGACAGGATGCTCTTTCAACGGCGCACAAACACCATTCTGACGGATTCACGAGAGCAGACTCGCAGAAAAGCTGACGGCTGATTGAAGCAGACGCAATAAACTCTGCTCTGATGCTGCTAATGGCTGCTGTTTGTGTTTTTGTGGAGTCTAGCAGAGATCAGGCAGACCTTTAATGAGTCACGGGCTTTCTGCATACTGTACACACACACACCTACACGACTGTGAGGATTTTTTACTGCTATCCAGTATCTAAACCATCTGATGTTGGAGGTACTACTCATCATTTCACAAGGAAACATCACATATATCAAATGAAGTCAAAATTATTTGCTGTGAATATCTTTTCCAAATATTTTCCAAATGATGTTTAACAGAGCAAGGAATTTTTCACAGTATTTTCTATCATATTTTTTTCCGGCTAGAATGAAAGCAGTTTTAATTATTTTATTTTTTACTATTTTAAGGTAAATATTATTATCCCCATTAGGCAATATATATTTTCAATAGTCTATAGAACAAACCAATCGTTATATAATGCCTTGCTAATTACACTAACTTGCCTAATTAACCTAGTTAAGCCATAAAATGTCACTTTAAGCTGAATACTAGTATCTTGAAAAACATCTAGTAAACGTTTACAGCATTTCTCAACAGCAATTATCAATCTGGAAGTGGCTGTCAATATCATTTTAAGTGGCTTACGGAGTGTTTTTATGATGCACAACGTTGATTTTGAAAGGTTTGTTTTAAAGAGGTTATGCTTCCGTCAGAGTCCGTTTAAGCGCGAGAGAAAAATGCTCTCCTAATTCAGTGACTGCTGTCAGATAAGATGCTGAAATGCAGTGTAAGACCTGACCTGACCTGCTAGCTGTTATACTGTAATCAGCAAATCGGGAGCCAGAAATGCCAACTGACCCAGCTGAGACTCAAAACAGTGACCTTCTTGCTACCCACTGCGCCACCGTGACGCCCAATTTATTTTTATGTCTATGTAAAATTGATTTGTATAATGCTGCACTGCACTTATAATGTCAGAGTATGTGATTGGCCAAGGACAGAATAAAGGTCAAGACAACTATATTCACCTATATTCAAGTGTACAGATATCTGCTTTCCATGACTTTTCCAAAACCTTGTGGGTTTTTCTGTTTTTCCAAAACTTTTCCAGGCCTGGAAAATGCCAAGTCAAAATTCCATCACTTTTCCAGATTTTCCATCACTGTATGAACCCTGCGTTTATGTTTATGTTATGCTAGTTTGTACTGTGTAGTATTTACCAGGGTCTGTGTTTTTCTGTCATTTCAAAATGTCACTTTATTTTCACTTTGTGACACTTTTTCAATCCACGTGTTAGTATGTGTTTGTGTGTGTCAAACATTTTAATTAAACCCAGTTTGCCTTGTTTATATATTTGAAAAAAAAAGAAAGAAAGAAAAAGTTGACTTCAGTATTGACGATGCTCCATTTAAAATGCATAATATGAGGGTAAAATGACCCGCATTGGTTGTTTTTCATTCCCATTAGATCGCATTTTTTAAATAATCAGTCCATGAGGTGGAGCTGATCGACAGCAGTATTAGTGCAAAGACATTAAAAGCAAGTAAAATAGATTAAAGCCCAATGCCAATTCTACCCCTTAGCCCTTCCACTTGCCCCTACCCCTCGTTTTGTGCATTCACGTGAAGGGGTAGGGTGTCCCAGTTCTCTTTAGCTTGAAGGCCTAGGGTTAACGGGAAGGGCTAGATGGCCCTTGAAGCAGAGATTTTTCAGGACCACACTCAAAACCAAGAGGTAAGAAAATTTCCCAGAATACACCAGCTACCATGGCAGCATGACAGCACACGTGAGTCAGGAGATGCACAAGTTTGTTTTTTTTGTCATTACATATTATTATGAATTTTTACAACAAACAAACACGTTTTAATATATCCACAAGTTGTCCGTGTTTTACCGTCATGCTTTATAAAAAAAAAAAAAAAAACATTAAAAACCTGCTAAATTTCGCTATCTATAATCCATAATAACAACAACACCCAGTAGTCCCACATCATACTTCATATCTGACACTCGAATACCCTGTCAGAAAGTCTAATGGCTGGGAATGCGCTTTTTACAGTGGCTAGTATAATGTTAATGTTGTTTTCGTGTATTTACATAAATGAATATGGCCACGGTGTAAATACACAGTACAGTTATGAGCTTATTACCACATTATATCATAATGATAACATGATATTGTTACCTTCAATGACTTCCTGGAGATAATATATACGAAAAGAGAATTGGGAATGGGCCTTAAACTACCATTTCAAAGCTGTCCAAATGTCACACTTTACATGCATCAAGCTGCCGACCGGAAGTCGAAGCATCCTGCTTACGCATACATGCAAAGCTTAATGGGTAATTTTGCGTTCTATGAAAAAGGTCTATAGAATATAGGTTGGATTTTTGTATTTCTTGCACAACACCAAGGTTCTTCCTCATGAGGAAACTACTGGAGTCATTTTTCAAAAGGCGCTGTTGTATTTTGTCCTGACCCTAATTCTTATCTCCAGCTTTTAAAGATGAAAGATCTGTGTAAGGCTCTTCTCTCCTCCAGTGGTCAGCTGGGTGTTGGAATAAAAGCGTGGGGTCAGAGGTCAAGCACAGTAGACTGTAGCAGTGTGCGAGATAAAAGCAGATAAACCATACCACAAACACAAAGACGCTCTCTAACAATAAACTGGAATACAATGCTTCAGGGTTCTTTAATGGGTTTCTCATTGCATATGCAAAGAGGGCATCTCGTTTGCATATAGAAGATACAGTCACCACATAAGGTGATCTCTTGAGTTTAGATGTCAGAAAGCAAGCAGACCATACACACTATAGCTGCACAATATATATTTTCAGCATTGATATCGCAATGTATTTGCAATAGTCACATTCAATCTTGAGTTGGCATTATAGTTGACCAGAAGCCAGTTTGTTTGTTTTCTTGTTGTTTTTTAAGTGGAAGTCTGCCTGTGTTGTTAAAGCTTGTGACTATATGAATATTTCGAAGGAGTTTCAAACATTCAGGCACAAGAAATGCTACCATTTGTACCTTTAATAAAGATACGTTTTATTTTATTATATCTACACAATGAAGACAATGCAGTGTTCTTTTGCATTTGATCTTTTCCTTTTTCTGTACCTATTGTTTGACAAATTTATAAGTCAGCAATACTTTTAATTTGTTCATTATTTTTATGCATGATTCAATCCCATGTTGCAATCAATCTGAATTAATGAACACTTTCCAAAAGTTATTTAACGCATCTGATAAACCTGTATTAGAATCGCACTATTTATTGCAGAAAACCAAAACATCGATATTTTTCCAATATCATGCAGGTCTGATACACACATTATTATAGGAACTACCTATAAACATATTATACAGTACCAACTTTATAATTCATCCGTAAAACAAGCCTCAACAAAAACCCTCAGCATTTTAACATTTTCATTCTGCAAGATGCAGAAGCTGTTTTCTCCATGAGGTTAAAAATGATGGTGTGAATATTTAGGGAATATCAGGTACACACGCACACCAATGCACACAGGGCATACAATTAGCATTTCATCAAACCTGCCGCGGATTATAGAAAATGTAGAAGAATATATGCAACTAATATTGTGTATTATGTTTCATGAAATAAAAAAAAATCAATAAGTGTCCATGAAGAACTTCATAATTATTTATGTATCCAAAACATTTTAAAATTAAAGAAAAAGGAAAAAAGTACCAATTCAATGAATAAGTGGATCATTACATGCCTACAGTATATATATATATATATATATATATATATATATATTTATATTTGTACATATTGAAGTACATATTCTACATGATCTTATTGCACAACCCTAATCTAAAACTACTACCTAACTGTTCATAAGCAGCAAACTAGGAGTTCATTGAACTAAAATTGCAGTTAATGATTTGTAATAGCAGGAATAATACCTTAAAATAAAGTGTGATAAAAAAATTTAAAAACTCTGTTTTCATTCTGTTATGAAATGCTTTGGACGACAGATTTATAAATTATTCTCTTCACAAACTTGGCAGAATGTTTGCCATGTTGCCTTTTTTACATAGCTGAATGGAGAATTGAGATGCAAAAGAAAATGAAAATAGGTATGATCATATTGCATGTACAGTACCTGACAAAAATCTAGTCACCTATAACTGGACTTCTAGTTGATCACTTGGTATCAGAAATGGCTAATATGAAAGGCATAGGTAATTGGTGACTGGGCTGGCCAATCCTAGAGCACCTTGACCTTTACTTTCAGGAACTGTGATGAAGAGGCTAAAGTATGAGGGGCGCTATCCTGCTGGTTGTAATGTAATGGGCAGCACAAATGTC